TTTCAAAACAAAAAAACAAAAGTGATTAGAAATTCTGACTTCCGGTTAAGATGGCAACATGGGCAGACATGGCTCACCTCTGCACATAACCACATCAAAATTACAACTAAAATACAGAACAACAATCACTCAGAAATGTCAGAAATTGAGCTGAATTCTGTAGTCTGACAACTACAGAATTAAAGAAACCATATCCATCCAAACCAGTAGGAGGGGTGAAGATGCAGAAAGGGCTGATTCCACACCTATGTGGGGTAGATAAATATTTGGGAAGAATATCTTGGGAGCAAGGAGCCCCAAACCCACACCAGGACCCCCAGCCGAAGGTTCAGGTGCCAGGAAGATACATCCCCACAAAACCAGGGGAGAATGAGTCAGTGGAAGAAATTTCTGGAGCCCCAAGCAGTTCCTTTTAATGAACCCACACACAGACTCACCTACTCAAACTCACTCCCTCTGAGCTCCAGTACTGGGGTAGCAGGTTGAAAGGCACAAGTGGTACACAAGGAGAAACTGAAATATTTGGCATCAAGGTGAGCAGAGGCCATTGTCCCTTTTCTAAACCCAATTCCAATGGAGCAGGTAACCTAGTGCCATATCTGAGACTCCATCAACCTGGCTAATACTGTTTGACCCACCTTGAAGATCCCCCTACCCAACTTATGGAACCACCCAAGGTGCTTTTCCACATGAATGGCTGGTCTTGCCTCATGCTCCATAACTTTCTAAATCTTATCACACAAGCAACAGCTGGCTTCAGTGAGCCCCAGGCTCAGCACTAGCAGCAGCCAACTTAGATTCACAGCTTGGCTTTACCTGGAATCTCTAAGCCCAGCACAAGTAGCAGCCATCTCAGATTGCTTTATAGCTAAGGCAGGGTGCCTGGGGCAAAACACAGGTGGAGGCTGACCTTGACCAGCACTACCCAGGAAACCCAGGGCCAGTACAACAAGTAGACAGCTATAGACCTTGTCGGAGCACCACTACCCTGTCCCTGCACAAATGGTACTCCATGGAGGATGGAGATTGGTGGTCAGTGGTCACAGCCAGTCCTTCAAGCTGACTAGCTTGGGTAAATACCTCCTATTGATATGCCAAAAGCAACCAAGGCTCAACTACAAGAGACGAGTGTACTCAGCTCACACAAAGGACACACCTTAAGTACCCAGCTTGGGTGATAGGCAAGGCTGTGTCATTGGAACCTACAGGATACCTACTACATTAGGCCACACTACCAAGACAGGGAGTAAAAGCAGCAGCTCTACCTAATACATAGAAACAAACACAGGGAAGCTGCCAAAATGAGGAGACAAAGAAACATGGCCCAAATGAAAGAACAGAACAAAACTCCAGAAAAAGAGCTAAACAAAATGGTGATAAGCAATCTATCAGATGCAGAGTTCAAAACACTGTTTATAAGGAAGCTCAAGGAACTTTGTGAGAACCTCAACAGCATAAAAAAGAAAATAGGATACACTATTGAAATAAAGAACAATTTACAGGGAAACAACAGAAGAGTGGATAAAGCCAAGTATCAAATCAACTATTTGAAAGATAAGGAAACAAAAAACAACCAATCAGAACAAGAAGAAGGAAAAGAAATTTAAAAAAAGAGGATAATATAAGGAGTCTCTGGGGCAACTTTAAGAGGTCCAACATTTGCATCATAGGCATGCCAGAGATAAAGAGAAATTGTAAGAAATTGGAAATTTATTTGAAAAAAATAATGAAAGAAACTTCCATAATTTGGTGAAGGAAATAGACATACAAATCCAGGAAGCACAGAGTGTCCCAAACAGGGATGCAAAGAGGCCCACTTCAAGATACATCATAATTAAAATGCCAAAGGTGAAAGATAAAGAGGGATCTTAAAAGCAGCAAGAGAAAAGCAGTTACTACTTATAGGTAACTACCTATAGGGGAGTTCCCATAAGACTGTCAGCTGATTTCTCAAAAGAAATTTTGCAGGCTAGAAGGGACTGACAAGAAATATTTAAAATTATAAAAAGCAGGGACCTATAGAGCCCATTTGCTCTACCCAGCAAAACTCTCATTTAGAATCAAAGGGCAGATAAAGAGATTCCCGGACAAGAAAAAACTAAAAAAGTTCATCATCACCAAACCATTATTACATGAAATGTTAAAGGGACTTATTTAAGAAAAAGAAGATCAAAACTATGAATAAAAAGCCAAAAACTATATATATCTATCAACAACTGAATCTAAAAAATAAGCTAAGCAAACAAGAACAGAGACAGCATCATGGATATGGAGAGCATTTTGATGGTTGCCAGATGGGAGCAGGTAGGGGAGAATGGGTGAAGAGGTGAGGAGATTAAGAAGTACAGCTAGATAGTTACAGAAATAAACATGGGGTTGTAAAATACAGTATAGAAAAATAGAGTAGACTTCCTCCAAGATGGAGGCATAGGTGGAAACATTGTGCCTTTTCGCACAACGAAGTTTAAAAACAACAAAGTTTTAGCAACAAAAAATGCAGCTTAACCACAGAAAATTGAATTATACCGAAATCCAACAACAACAAACCATTCAGCCAGACCCATAAACCAGTGAAGGAGCAAGCAGTGAAATAGACCGTAAAGGCCCCAGTGGCAGGAAGCAGCAGAGGGGACCGCCATTGCCCCTCTTTGACCCTGCCCCCATATATAGTGTCACAAAGTAGTGACCTGGGTGGCCGCACCTGGTGAACACCTAAGGCTCCGCTCCTCATATGTAACAGGCTCAAACAGACCAAAACATGGCTCAAGAAGAACTAAAACCCCTGGAGCCAATAACTCTAAGTGACCAAGAAATTGCCAACCTATCAGATGCACAGTTCAAAACACTGGTGATCAGGATGCTCACAGAACTGGTTGATTTTAGTCACAGATTAGAGGAACAAATGGAGGCTAAACTAATTGAAATGAAGGGAAATGCTCAGGAAACCAATAGTAATGGAAAGGAAACTGGGACTCAAATCAAGGGAGCGGACCAGAAGGAAGAAAGAAATGACCAAACAGAAAAGAATAAAGAAACAAGAATTCAAAAAAAATGAGGAGAGGCTTAGGAACCTCCAGGACATCTTTAAACGCTCCAACATCAGAATTATAAGGGTACCAGAAGGGGAAGAGGAAGAGCAAGTGGAAAACTTATTTGAACAAATAAGAGAACTTTCCCAATCTGGCAAAGGCAATAGACTTCCAGGAAATCCAAGAAGCTCAGAGAGTCACAAAAAAGTTGGACCCAAGAAGGAACACACCAAGGCACATCATCATTACATTAGCCAAGATTAAAATGAAGGAGAGAATCCTAGAAGCAGCAACACATAAGGGGACAGTCACCTACAAAGAAGTTCCCATCAGACTGTCAGCTGATTTCTCAAGAGAGACCTTACAGGCAGGAAGGGGCTGGAAAGAAGTATTTCAACTCATGAAATCCAAAGACCTACTTCCAAGATTGCTCTATCCAGCAAAGCTTTCTTTTAGAATAGAAGGACAGATAAAGTGCTTCTCAGATAAGATCAAATTCAAGGAGTTCATCATCACCAAGCCCTTATTATATGAAATGTTAAAGGGACTTATCTAGAAAAAGAAGATAAAAAAGATAAACAGTGAAAGGACAGCAAACTCACAATTATTAAGAACCACACCTAAAGCAAAAGCAAACTAAGAGGACAGCTAGATCAGGAGCAGAACCATAGAAATGAAGATCACATGGAGGGTTAGCAACAGGAGAGTGGGAGAAGGAGAAGGGGGGAGAAGGTACAGAAAATAAGTAGCATAGATGGTAGGTAGAAAATAGATGGGGGGGCAAGAACAGTAGGGGAAATATTGAATTTAAAGAACTTAAGACTCGTGGTCATAAACTAAAGTGGGGGGAATGGTGGGGGAGGGGGTGTACAGAGTGGAGGGGAATGAAGGGGGAAAATAGAACAACTGTAATGGCATAATCAATAAAATATATTAAAAAAAAAGAAAAATAGAGTAGCCAAAAACCTTATAGACATGACCCATGGACATGAACAATGGTGTGGGTTTTTACTGAGGGAGTGGGGGATGCTGTATGGAGGGGGGAAAGGAGAAAAATCAAGATAATTGTAATAGCACAATCAATAAAATATAATTAAAAAATAAATTCCATGAACATCAAAGATACAAAAATTATATATTATTCATAGTTTATGAAAAAAATGAAATGTGACAAGATTTTGAATAATTCATGGTGTGTAAAGAGAATCCACTTGAGATTTTGGGTGAGAAAATTTGACTTCAAGTGGCCTGTGGGAAAATATCTTCAATACACAAAGAAGAAAATGTAATCATAGCATACCTAGAAAATGTAATCATAATTTTGAATAAAAGTACTAAAGGGAATTTTGAAACAGAGGAAAACAGAAGCAAAACTATGACTTGGTATCTCTGTCTTGCTTCACAGCTGGAAAAACCAAGGCACCAGGAGATTATGTGGTAGACTCAGATGGACCAGTCTCCTCCCCACAATGTTAACATCCAGAGACAACTATGCATTTTTTTTTGTCATTAACTTCATGGGTATATTTTAGTAGGGCTCTCTTCTTTTATGAGCCTTAACAATTCAGATCATGACAAAAACATTGCTTAACACCCCAAGTGCTAAGAACCTACCAGCCTCATGATAAATTCATGAATTGAATTAGTATTAATTAATAAAATGTATTAATAAAATACATAAAATTAACAAAGACATAAAATTAATAAAATTAACAAAATGTATCATCATTTATAAAAGCTACTGTAATGTAGACAATCCCACAGCCCATTTTTAAAATTTTATTTTGCCTGGATTTAGAAAATATGAGAAGTTGAGTCACTTACTAAGCCCACAATGGGTTTGAATGATTTTTAAGTGAATCAAATTGAACAGGGCATGCTCGTAGGCTGATCCTGCCACAGCAGAGCCCTTGAGGTATAGCATGGCTGCGACATTGCACCAGAACTCTTCTTTCATTGAGTTTGACTTACGGTCCCCACTGTTGGTCGATGTCTGCTCCTCTCTGCACAAGAACTGGGATTGCTTGATGGTGCTTATTGATCACAGCCATGGTAATAACAGGACGGTCTTCGTTATCACTGCAGTTGGGATCTGCTCCCTGCAGCATATGCAAAAGGACAAGCCTGCCACAAAACCCTGCACTCAGCAGCATTTAATCGCCATCTTAGTCACTAACAAACTTCCTGGATGGAACTAAACTACTTTAAATACAAAGAGAAGAGAATCAGAAAACCTGAGACCCAACATACAACAAACAGAGCAGCCACATTACTTGGGTAGTAAAACTTCTGTTTCCCAGTCAGGAGGGGCAAGCAACCTTGCTTCTTTAAGAAATAGGAAGGTCACATGGGGTCTCACAGGCCAGGGATTCTGTCCACCTTCATGCATCTTACTTGGGCTCATGTATAATTTTCTGCCTATTTATTTTGCCATAAAAACTGGCAACAGGTAACAATTCATGTAAAGCTCTGGATTTGCCATTTAATCCATTCCCAATCAGTTTTTAAGTAAATGACACAGTAATGATCACAACAATGAACAAAACTTCCATCTGAAAGAGACAGAGATGAAACACATTATACCCGCAGAGAGACTTGCTCTTTGGTTTCACTTACTTCATCAAGCAACTGTTCAATTACAGAGACTCTTCCATCCCCTGTTGGTCCAACTTCCTTCAGCAAGAGTCTGCTTTCGGGCTGCAGGATGACAGAATGTGGTCATTTCTACTGCTGCAAAATACTTTTACTGTCTAGTTCCATTTGCCCAGGCTCAACCCTAAAGGTGAATATTTCCTCTCCAAGGTTAAGTTCTGAGCCCCAGGGATGGGTGAGCATGAGAATAATAGTGTGTGTGTGCGCGCGCGTGTGTGTGTGTGTGTGTGTGTGGTCTTCAACAGCCAGCAGCACAAATAAACACATCTAATGTAAATTTTGCTGATCTTTGAAACCTTGTCTTGATGAAGGACACCATACTCACATTGTTTTATATATATATTTTTTAAGATTTTATTTATTTACTTTTAGAGGGGAAGGGAAAGAGAAAGAGAGGGAGAGAAATATCAATGTGTGGTTGCCTCTCGGCAGCCCCAAACTGGGAACCTGGACCACAACCCAGGCATGTGTGCTGACTGGGAATTGAACTGGTGACTCTTTGGTTTGCAAGCCCAAGCACTATCCACTGAGCTACATTGGCCAGAGTGTTTTATATTATTAAGGTCAGGGATGCAATAAGAAATCGCACCAAAACCCAGAAACCCTACACTAGTTTTATTATGAATATTTCTACGAAAAGCAACCAGGTGAATCCTAAAATTTACTTTGCATGCTGTATAAAGTGTTCAAAGTCAGCCTACATATGAGTTCAGATGAGGCAATGAGTGAACAAATGAGATCAACCTCTTGCTTGGGAGGGGGAAAAAAGCTCATCTATCATCAATCTATAATCAGAAATCAGAAGGTTATTATCTTTTATATTTTCAAAATGCGAAGATAGCTTTACATAGTCTTTATATATATATAATTTCAAATGCTGGTTCCTGGAAGATTAAAGGAAACAGTCTAGAAAGCAGGAGACATCACTTCTAGTATGTTTCCTCCACTTGATCCCACTCGAAGGTGATTCTGGGGTAGTCCCAGGACCACCAATTTATAAAGTGGAAGTGATACCATCCCTCCCTGGCTTCCTGGAAAGTCATGAGGATGAATATACTGGCCAAGGCCTCTGAGCATTTCAGAAGAAGATGTAAGGTTCACCCTTTGTCCTCCCAGTAAGTAGCTTGGAACAAGGTGCTCTAATTAGTTAGATGCTCCTATCTTGTGGGGTGAAGGCAGTTGTTTATACTGAATTCCATTCCTTATGGAAAAAATGAACCAGAATGCACTAGAATGTCAAGTTTATGAGGTCTGAGACCCTTGTGTCTTTTGTTTGTTTTGTGTTCAACTCGTAGAACTGAATGGGCCTATATGCTCAAAAGTAATCACTGAATGAGTGAACAGATGATATGGTTTCTATTACTTATCCCCTAAATTTGAATGAGAAAATAAAAGCATATAACAGTAGGGAATTCAGGTCATGTACAGAGTAAGTAGGTAGAGTATCCAAAATGGTAAAATTATCAACTTTATGGAACTCTACACTTATTGACAATATTTCAACCTGGGAGAAGATAGAGAGCACAAAGAATCATAGGTATGAAATTCAAGACAATTGTCATGTCTTCTTTCCAAATTTATTAGTGTTCATGACACAAGATGAGGAGTAGAGTCCCTGCCTCCAGAGAAATCACAATGCCAGCTGGGTGGAGGATATGTGTATCCCTGAGGTAGCCCTGGGGGCCTGGCTTAACTGAAGCTGGAGGAAATAAAAGACACTGTATCCATCTCCATCACTGGCTAGGAGACCCAGACTCTGGGCTTGTTGCTAAGTATATCTGTTTGCTCTATTGCAGCCAGAGGACTGGCTATAATATGAGGGAAGGTGGTAGAGGCAATGCTCCCATTGAAATTATTGATGGTCTATATTTTTGAAAAATAAACTTTAATAGCTGTGGGAAACTCCAAAAAGATACCATCAGTAGATCAAAAATTGTAAGAATCCTAGAGATTTAAAGTAGATGGAATCTGCCCTGGCTGGGTAGTTCAGTTGGATTGAATATCATACCAAGATGACAAGGTTGTGGGTTCAACCCCCAGTCTAGGCACATACAAGAATCAACCAATGAAACCCTGGCTGAGGTAGCTCAGTGGATTGAACACAGGCCTGTGAATAAAAGGGTCACCAGTTCAATTCCCAGGCAGGGCACATGCCTGAGTTGTGGACCAGGTCCCAAGTAGAGGGTATGCAAGAGGCAACCACACACTGATGTTTCTTTTCCTCTTTCTCTCTCCCTTACCCTCTAAAAATAAATGAAATCTTTAAAAAAAAACAGAATCAACCAGTGCCTAATAAATAAGTGGGACAACAAACTGATGCCTCTCTCTTTCTCCCTCTCTCTCCCCCATCTCTCTAAATTCAATTAAAAAAAGAAAGTAGATGAAATCTGACTGACAGGGAAATCAAAGCAAAGAAAAAGCCCAAGTGAAAACACTAGAAGTATGAGTATGCACTCCAGAGCGTCCTGCAGATGCTCAAAGCTACTCAACAAGGAGGGTAGAAGCTGGGTGCAGGCTGAATTCATGAGTGTATCATTAGAGAGCTTTATTGTCAATAGCTGAGATGGCTGGTGTCCTCCCCTCTGCCATGCAAGGAAAGGAAGCTTTTGCTCTCTGCTTACCCCTTGATAACCATTTTTCGGAGAGTCCATAATTTGCCTAATAAAGGCTTCTTCTGGGAGCACTGAAGCCCAAGAAGGACAGCGTCCCAACCTCTATGAGACACAGGGAAGGATTTGGAAAGACAGTCCAGCCACACCAGAGCGCTTCACAGCATCACCCTCACCATCACAGGCAAGGCCTTCTTACACAGGTAACTTATGGAACCCAAGGCTTTCTCCTGCCTCTGCCCACACAAAGACCTCAGTACCACATACCCATGATAGGCACTCATGCTGGGCATCCATACCAGGAGTTTGTGGTAATCAAACCAGCCCTTCATTTGTTAATGTTTCCTGACAACCAAGGATATCACATTTGAGACAAACCAAACACAAGAAAGAGAAAGACGGGTGCACAGAACTGACTCCATAGGTAAGAGAGGTGATTTCGGACCCTGATGAGAAATTTTAAATAATTCTAATTAATAATCTTGAGATATTTTAAAGGATTCCAAAAATAAAAATATGTTGTCATAAAACAAGGAACAGAAAATGGAAAAAAGTATTCATCCATTTAAAAAAATCTCAAAATAAAACATGAAATAGGCCAAAGACAGCTGTAAGGACCAAGGGATACACATACTGTAAGCTGCTCCTTCTTTCCATGAAATGTTTTAGTCTTAAAATTCTTCATTCTCTTGTTTTTTTCAGTGATATCTGAGGTGGTTTGATTGCAGTCACTCACTGGAATGACAAAGAGTTAAGGACCAGAATGATGTTCCCCCATCCTCTCCCCACAGGTAAAGAGCTAGAGTCTACTATCAGGCCCCTCAAGGGGTAAAAAGGGTAAAATGGTTTTGTAGAGATTTGTTTGATTAAAACTGACAGGAAGGACTGCTATAGCCACTTCTCTCAGTCCAAGACCAGAGAGTGGGTGAGAAGGAGGGGAACAGAAGTAACTAGTTTTTAGGCCCCTTGGAGCATCCACTCCCAATTTATCTCCCTATGCCTGTGAAAGCCTTCAGGGAAGCTAGAGGAATAAAAAGGCTAGAATGTAAAAGATATGTAGTTGGGCTGGCAAGTTTTAAGCAATTCTGCCATCCTTGCCAAGTCACTATGTCCCTGGTCAATGGCTTTAAAATCAATGGAAGGGCACAACTCACCCAAGCTGGACCTGCTGCCAAATAGCCCATTATCACCCTCGGTGACATTGCTCAGAAAGCGGTCGATGAAATTCACCTCCTTACTGAGGTAAAGGTTCTGGCCAATAAGAAAATTCAGCACCATGAATGATGAGGCTGCTGTGTCCCAACCACCTCCCCGCCAACCTGCTCCTCTTTCTATTAATGACAACTCTGTCTGCACAGTCAAGACTGAAACCTGGCACCCTTCCTACAACTCCATCCCTCACTAGAATGTTCTGTACATTTTGCCTCTTAAACATCTCCACAGTCTGTTTCTTCCTCTCAGTCACTATAGCCTCAGCTCCCTCTTCTCACACCGGAAACAGTATAACAGCCTCCTAACAGGTTCCCACCAGCCCACCTGCCATATATCTGCCCTAGTCACCTTGATACAATTTGTAAGTAACTGTGTCCTGCCACTGCTTAAAACCCGTCTTTGTCTTGGAATTAGGGTGGCATGATGGGGAGGCTTAGGCTGCAGTGTTTAAATACTAGATTGGGGACCTTGGAAGATACAAGCTGCTTAACTTCCCTGAGCCTCAGTTTTCTCACCTATAAAGTGGAAATATTATGCCCTACCTCAAAAGGATGATGTAAAAGTAAAACGAGGTGAAATAAATGTTTATAAAATGAAGATAGATAATACATACTCCAGACCTGACATCCTGTCACCTCCTGGACTGATTTCACAGCATGGCACCCTGCTCTATCCTCACATGGCTGCCAGCTCCTGTCATAGGGAACCCTCTACACTACTTCCTCAACACTAGAACATGTAGGCTAAGGAAAAAAAAAACCATAGTGAGCCTGGGAATTGGTGCCCATCCCGTTCACCTTAACTGGTCAGCATACCTATCCCAGCTGCTGTGTTGGCTGCTAACAGCTCACAGCTGACTCCCTTCTCCAGCCAACTGTCCTCAGTAGTTGGGTGCTGCTCTGCCCTAGAGGTTATGACTCTCTCCTTCCTGCCTCAGTTGGAGACAACTGCATGGTGCCATTCACAGTCCAGATCTCCTTGTGGGTCAGGCTAAATCTAGACATTATTTGTGATCACTTGCGTATTCAGGTTCCTGCCTTGTCCCATGGCCCTTACTCCCTTTCTCCTGAAGTACCTCTCTGACCCAAGCTCTGCTTCAGCCCACAACTGAAAACATGGCATTAGGTGCTTTACTTGGTTTCAAAGAACTTTCATATGCACTATCCCCTTGGATATGTATGCCTGCCCAGCTTCCCTCTGAGGTAGGCAGGGCCCATAAATCCATCTTAATTTTAAAGACACTTAGCACCCTGCTGGGCACATGCACAGGACCTAATAAATGGTAGCTCTTCTCATCTTCCTTGCCTTTTTTACCCCTCTTCTCAATCTACTGATTAATCCTTTTGTATATTTTGCCTTCTTGTCCAGTGACACTAAAGCTGCCAAAATTGATCAATGTTTGTTACACACAGGCTCTATGGCAATACCCGCATCACTGTATAAAAGGATAGATGAAGGGAGACATGGCCACAGCATTTGGCTTCTTTTTTATAGGCAAATAGGACAAAAATGGCAAACATTTTTGTCAGTCTTTCCCCAAATCAGTTGAATCACAGACCTGTCATCAGATGTCAGTGAATATAAATAAGCCTGAGAACTATAGGACTAATTGACTGGCTGATAATTCCTATTCTTACTATATCATTATGTGCCCAGAAGCTGTCTTCTTCTCTCAGGCTTAGCTCAGTTATTTATCTAATTCTATGAAATTGTCAGCTTACAGTTAAGTTTCATAATAATTGAAACTTTACCTTTCTCTGGATTACACAGAGACATTTCAATAAATCATATGCCACAATTTACTAGCTCAGTCAATTCATCAATGAATAACTCCTGAAGGTTTCACTTACCTTGTTTGAGACTTGAATATAATTCAGCCTGATGCTAACTTCATAGCCATCTTCATGGACAGTAGCAGAGATAAGCTTTTAAAAAAGTATTAGAGAGGATTCACAACTGTGGATATGGGACTCAGTAACCTGAGCAACAACAAGAAATTCTGGGCTGTTAAACTGCAAGTTTAGTCAAATATTTAATTAATACCAAAAAAGGCAAGAAAGAGAAACAGAGGAACAAAAAGTAGATAAACTAGAACATAAATAGTAAAATGGCAGGCACAAATCTAGCCATATTTATAATTTTGTTAATTATAAATAAACTAAATAAATACCTAAAGAGCAGAGACTGCCAGAATGGATAAGAAAGCAAGGTCCAAATTTATACTATCTACAAGAGACATACTTTAAGTTTAATCAAGCCATATGGCTGGATGTCATCACCTTGGAAAAGGTGTCCTGGGGGCCAGGCATTGGCAATCAGGGGTCTGGTATCACTGTTGAGCAGTTTCTCTGTAAGTAGTGGGAGGGATTTACATTAAACCAGGGATCAGCAAAGGCTTTAAGGATCACCTCATAAATGTTTTAGGTTCTGTGGGCCATAGAGTCTGTGTCATGAAAATTCAACATTGCCACTGTAACATAAAAGCAGCTGAAGAAAATAAGCAAATAAATAAGTATACAATAAATGAATGTGATCCAATAAACCTTATTTATTAAACTGGATAGCAGGCCAGAACTGCCCCATAGGCCATAGTGTTCAGACTCCTAGATTAGGCTAAAAATTAATAAACCATCAAAATAGATTATCAAAGGAAATTGAGCAATACTTGACTATGAAATAATGGGTTGGCCAAAAAGTTCATTGACTAATTCTGGACACTTTTTGTTGAGTGCTGATTTCAGCTTTTGTACTTGGGAGTAGTGCTTGTAGGAATTGTTTGGTTTTCCAGAAGGAGCTCATTAAGAGAGGACTCCCTTCCAATCCCACTATATACACAACATCACCTTCGTTGGAGGAAGATTAGCCTTCACTGTGGTTGGTAGTGGTTCATTTTGCTTGCCCCATGATCTCTTCTGTTCCACATTTTCTTGTAAAGTATCCATTTTTCATAGCCCGTCACAATTTGTTTTAAAAATGAAATGCTTCTGTTACATTTAAGTAGAGAATCACAGGCAGAAACATAGTCAAAAAGGTTTTTTTTTCCCTTAACTCATGTGGAATCCAAACATCAAAGCTATTAACATAACCAAGCTGGTGCAAATGATTTTCAACATTTGATTTGGATATTTTAAGTATGTCAGCTATCTCCTATGTGGTATAACATGGATTGTTCTCAATGTCGATTTGATTGCTATCAACTTCAACTGGTTTACCCAAATGTGGAGCATTGTCCAGTGAGAAATCTCCAGCACAAAACCTCACAATTCACTTTTGACACATTCCATCAATCACAACACGTTCTCCATATACTGCACAAACTTTTTTTTGCGTTTCAGTTGTGTTTTTACCTTTCTTGAAATAATAAAGTATAATATGCCAAAAATGTTGCTTATTTTCTCCCATCTTCAATATTAAAATGGCTATACAAAAATTCACCTGTTTTGGTGTTTTTTAAATGCACACTGATATGACACTGTCACAATACAATTTAACAAAATTATTTCAAATGAAGTTAAAAACAACTAAGTGCTACTAGAGCCATCCTATGCAGAAACTGAATGACCTTTTTGGCCAATCCAATGGTTTCAATGTTGGCCTGTTTAGTGGCAGAGGAGCAGACAGGCTGATTTTTAAAGGTTCTTTCTAGTCTCATGACAGAGGAACATGTCTTTTTACAAGGTGTCTCTTTACCAGGCAGAGAAATAGCATGGTGTTTGGAGTCTAACAGAAGTGCTTCAAATCCTTAATCCCCTGAGACCTAGCAATGCAGTCCGAGGGAAGTCACTAAACCTCTCTGAGTCAGTTTTCCTGGGTGTCAGGTAAGATTTGTTCTATCATTTACTACAGTGTAAAAATTCTCAAAATCAGCCACATTAACAACCCCCATTTTTATCATGTTCATGAATTCCAGTAGGGCCCAGCAGTGATGGCTTCTCTGAGGCTTCAGCTAAAACTGAAATGGCTAGAGGTAGCTTCATGTTTGGGGACTGGAATGACCTAGAGACTCATCACTCATCTGCCTGCCTTCTGAGCCGGGGTGACTCCAGGACTGAATTCACTTAGAGCTGCATACAGGAGAACCTACATGTGCCCATCCAGTGTGGTTTGGGCTTCTCACAGCAGGATGGCTGGGTTCCAAGAAGGAGTTTTGGAGATGAGCATGCTAAGCGAGAGGAAGCCACATGGCCTACATGACCACACCTTGGGAGTCCCATAGCATCGTTTCCAACATACCATTGTCCAACAGTCACAACCCTACTCAGATTCAAAATGAGGGGATATAGTCTCCATCCTGTGAAGGGAAGACTGTCAAAGACTCTGTGGTCATGTTTTAAAAACTACCACAATGGTAATACCTCTAACTTGCAGGTTTGTTTTGAGAACTGGAGATGATAAACATAATACAGATATTGAGTGCATTGCTAAATGGTTAAATCTTGTAACTACTATTTTTAATATAGTGTAGGATTTAAATATGCAATTTGGCTGGATTAAACTATCCTGGGTCATTTAACTTTGACCATCAGCATTTCCACAGCATGTGGTATCTAAAAGCATGCGATGTTCACAATTTGCTGTTTTGGGTGCCAGTAGCAGACCCTAAGACAAGACTCACATGCAAGGGACTTATTAAGGCCCTGCCTGCAAGGGAAGATAGTAAGGAAGTAAGGGAAGCAGGGCAGGAAAGGGAAAGAAGTCAAGAAAAGTGCAATTTTGGGTGGAGCTGGTGGAGTGTAACTTCAGTCTGATCCCATGGGACACTGTGAAGTGGAAGTTCCATTCACAGTTTACCCACCTTTCCCATCCTGGGTTCAGCAATCAAGGCCCGGAATTCAGGGTTGTTCTGAGCATAAGACCTGAGGTGAGCAGAGATGTGATCCAACTGTTTTCTCCAGTATCCTGAAGAAGAAGAGAAACCTGTCTATATGGATAATTATTCTGAGGCTAAGAAAGAAAATGCTGATGTGGATCATGAATTCTCAGAAAAGTTGTTTTTCTTTGACAAATGTGATGGCTTTTACTTACTTGAAACTAAGTTCCATTTTTTGTTCCCAGCTTCTTTTTACACACAATAAATTATAGAAATTCTAGAACCTCAAAAGAACATGTTTTGATAGCTGTGCATGGGGTCTTTTTCTTTTACTCTTTTAAAATTCTTTTTAAATTAAGAACACTGATGAAAGAAATTGAGGAAGATACAAATAAATGGAAGCATATACTGTGCTCAAATAGGTTGGAAGAATTAACATCATTAAAATATCAACGCTAGCCAAAGCAATCTATAGATTCAATGCAATTCCTATTAAAATACCAATAGCATATCTCATAGATCTAGAACAAATACTCCAAAAAACTCCAAAAATTTATATGGAACCAAAAAAAAAAAAAGATCCTGAGTATCCTCAGCAATCTGGAGAAAGAAGAACAAATTTGGAGGTATTACAATACCTGATATCAAACTTTACTACAAGGCCCCTGTAACCAAAACAGTCTGGTACTGGCATAAGAACAGACACATAGATCAATGGAACGGACTAGAGAGCCCAGAAATAAACCCATGTCTTTATGGTCAATTATATTTGACAAAGAGGGCTGAGCATACTATGAAATATAGACTGCCTCTTCAATAACTGATATTGGGAGAACTGGACTGGTACATGCAAAAAAATGAAACTAGACCATCAACTTAAACCATATGACACCAGAATAAACTCAAAATGGATATAAGACTTAAATGTAAGTCATGATACCATAAAAATCCTAGTGGAAAAAATAGGCAGTAAAAGTTTAGATATTTCATGTAGCATTATTATTTATGCTGTCTCCTAGGCAGTGGTCCCCAACCTTTTTGGCACCAGGGACCAGTTTTGTGGGAGACAATTTTTCCACAGCCTGGTGGGGGAATGGGTGGAGATAGGAGTGGAAACTCAGGCCTTAAAGTAAGTGAAGCTTCACTCCCTGGCTTGTCCCTCATCTCTTGCTGTGTGGCCTGGTACCTAACAGGCTGCAGACCAATATGGGCCCACAGCCTAGGTGTTGAGGACCCCTGTCTTAGGGCAAGGGAAATAAAGAAAAAATAAACAAATGGGACTACATCAAATTAAAATCCTTCTGCATGGCTAAAGAAAACATCATCAAAATGATAAGAGAACCGACTACATGTGAGAACATATTTGCCAACGATACACTGGACAAGGGTTTAATCTCTAAAATTTGTAAAGAACTTATATGTGTTAGCACCAGGAAGATAAACAATCCAATTAAAAAATGGACAAAGGACCTGAATAGACACTTCTCCAAGGAGTACAAACAGATGGTCCATAGGCATATGAAAAAATGCTCAACATCACTAGCCATTAGAGAGATGCAAATTAAAACCACAATGGGATATCACCTCACACTTGCCAAAATGGCTATCATCAATAGATCTACAAGAAACAAGTGCTGGTGAGGATGTGGAGAAAAGGGAACCCTAGTGCCCTCTTGGTAGAAATGCAGACTGGTGCAGCCACTGTGGAAAACAGTATAGAATTTCCTCAGAAAACTAAAAATGGAACTGCCCTTTGACTTACCCAGCAATTCCACTGCTGTGAATATACCCTAAGAGTCCTGAAATACCAATTCAAAAGAACCTATGCACCCCAGTGTTCATAGCAGCACTATTTACAATAGCCAAGATTTGGAAGCTAAGTGCCCATCATAGGTGAATGGATTAAAAAAACTGTGGTATATTTACTCAATGGAAAACTACATAGCAGAAAAAAGGAATGAATTCCTACCTTTTGCGACAGCATGGATGGAACTAGAGACTATTATGCTAAGTAAAATAAGCCTGTTGGTGAAAGACTCATTTATAAGTGGAATCTAATGAACAAAATAAACTAGAGAACAAAATAGAACCAGAGGCATGATGGAATCATGGGTCAGAATGACAGCTATAAGAGGGGAAAGGGGAGGTGGGAACTGATTGAAAGACAGTGAAGGGATTAAAGAACATATAAGAAGGACCCATGGACATGAACAATGGTGTAGGGATTGACTGTGGAAGTGGGTGTCAGATTGGGACAGCTAAAGGGGGAAAACTGGGACAAATGTAATAAAATAAACAATAAAAAATTTTAAAAGTAAATAAAATTATTTTTAAATTAACCATATGGAGATATAACAGTTGTAAAATATACCTATTTAAACTGTACAACCTGAGTTTGGCAAATGTATACATCTTCATCAATATGTAGAACAATTACATCACTCCTAGAAGTTCCCTTGTGCCCCTTTCCAGTCTGCCTGGAATTTAAAACATTTGAATTAATTTCCACCATTTAAATCCTGGGAGATTTCACATGAGTCTAGCTTTCTGGTTTCTTATGTGCAGGTGGGAGATGCAGAAGCACTGGGCCTGCCTTCCTGCACATGCCCGGCTGCCTGGGGCAAAAGGGCAGCAGCCCTCTTTGGACAGGGCACAAGCTCCCAGCAGGCGATAGTCCCCACAGGCCAGTGGCCTGCCTTTACCTCCCGGTTCTGCCCTGTTGACATTTGAGTCTGTAAATATGCACTGAATCCTGCCTCATCATTTTACAATAAGGACGCTAAAGTTGAGAGCAATCAGTGACTTTTGCAAGGTAATCCAATGTGGTTTTATGGAAAGAGCACATCGTTTCCAGTTAAGAAAAGCTGGCATTTAAATCCTAAATTTACCATTTATTAGCTTAGTGAACTTCAGTCAGGCACTTAAATCTCATTAAGCCTTACTTTCCTTACCTACAAAATGAGATTAATACCTCTTACTTTGTACGTTATTATGACATTAAATAAGAAAACCTAAGTGTCTTAGTTTGGGTTGCCCTGGCAGCAAGCCTGAAACAAAGACTTAGGAAAAGTGGTTTCTTAGAAAGGTGACTCTGGGAAGCACAAGTGATAGAGTAGTGTGAACACTCCAGCAGTTCTAAGATGTACCTGCTTAGGGACAAGAAGTCTTCTGCTGCTCTCAAGGAAGTCTGAGGAAGCAAAAGAAATAGCTGTTGTGGCAAATCCAAACATGAGGGATGCTTCCAGTGATGTATGACCATCACAGCTGCACTGAAATCAGGCAGGCTGAGGGGAGCTGGTGTGGTGTAACAGAAGAGTCCACTATGAGTAACTGAGATAGAGATAATCCTAGGCCTAGCACAGTGATTGGCACAAAATATGCATTCATTCCTCAAATATTTTTTAGCATCTACTCTGTCCCATGCACTATTCTAGGGCTGGAAAGATAGGAATGAACAAAGTTCTTGGCCTTGAGTAGCTGACTTTCCAATGGAAACAGAGAATGTGCAAATAAATAAATATGAATGCAGGAGTATGTTAAACACATGGTTGTGACTGAGAATGTACAATACAATAGATGTAAAATTCCCAGATCAAATCTCAACTCTCAAAAAAGCATCAAGAGAAGACTCTGAAAAGCATAGGATGGGGGAGAGTGCTTTGGAAAGGGTCATTGCAAGACTGTGAGTCCTGTTTTGAGGGGGTGGGGTTAGATCTGCTCTCTTCCAGCTCAAACTGAAAAAGGGGACTACAGGAAACTGCATTCTGCTATACGAAACTGAGGACATGTTTCTATAATCTATTGCGGCCAAGCAAAATACCCTAGAACTTAGTGGTTTAAAATACTGTCTACTTAACTGTTCACACTATAGAAGTTCACGCTACAGGTCAAGAATGTGGTCACTATTCAGCAGGCATGGCTCATCCTTGTTCCACATGGTGTCAGCTGAGCCACTTAAGCTGGGACTGGGGGATCCAAAATTATCTCACCCACAGGGCCAAGGCCTCAGCTATGAATCTTCTCATAATTGCTGCCTGCATACTCAAATATCTGGTGTCTTTGTGTTGATTGTTACTTTGGTCATCTCTATTTTTCTCCATATGGGACATGTTTTCACTCAGTAATCTATCCTGGTCTTCTATACATAGTGCTGTCTTCCTACAAAATAAGAAGCTTCCGGTACATTTAACACCTAGGCCCAGAGCTGTCATGCTTCCCTTTCTACCACTTGCTATTGGTAAAGCAAGTCAAAAGACCAGTCCACATTCCCCCCAAAAAGGGAAACAGCTTCTTCTGTGAAAGAAGTAGCATGTGCATATAGGGAAAGGAGAAATCATTCTGGCCATCTCTGCAAACAATCTACCATAGGACTGATAACACACATTCCTAGAAGATCTCAAACACCTTGTGAATCAAGTTTTGACTCCCAGCTGGAAAATACAGATGGCAAGAGAAGAGCTGAGAATGCTTAGTTAGCAGCATGGCAGCCTGAGGAGCTCAGTGGACCCAGTTCACTGGGTCCTATAATTTGTACTATAATTAGAGTGCAAATAACCATTTAAAGTCTCTGGAAATAGTTCTAAGGACATACAGCAAATAAACATTTAATGAAGAAAATGTACTAAAACAGAGTAAGTAAGAATCTATGATATTTGAACCATGATCCACTCCCCTCCACCCAATTTCAGCTAGTCAAGATGGAAACCACTCCAGATAGGTGTAGACAAAAACACAGGGCTCCCTTTACTCCCAGCTCCTACCTGGAGAGCTATGGTATCTTCCCAGGAGGTACAGAACTTCAGTACTTCTCATTCGGCCCCCAACTACTTGTTACCAAGACCAAGTTCTGGGGAAGTGTGATTGAGAATGGAAGCTCCCTTTTTCAGCTCAGCCAACATTCATGGATGGAGGCTCTGCCATGGATCTAGTACACTGAGATTACTGGAGTCAACTGTTTTGTTAAGATGGCAATGCCCACCAAACTGATCTACAGATTCAGCCCAATCCCTTTCAGAATTCCAGCTGGCTTCTTTCTAGAAATTGGCAAGCTCGTCCTAAAATTCATATGAAAACTCAAGGACCCAGAATA